GGCTCTGCTGCCTGGGAAGGAGCCTTCCCCTGCCTGCCTGGGGAGCAGCAATGCGGGGACCCCGCTGCCACAGCAAGCACCAACAGAGGATGCAGGATGGGGGACCAGGGCAGATGGGTTTTGGGTGCTCCTCTGTCCATTCAAGCACCCTGGGAGATGCTGAGCCCGAGCAGGGGCTGTGTCAGCCATCACCACCTGGCATCTCAGCTCCGTCTCTCGAGTGGGAATAGAGGGTGAGAGTTTATTCACAACCCCCAAACCCAGGCAGAGGCTTAGCAGCAGCCAGAAGATGCAGGATGGGGGACCAGGGCAGATGGGTTTTGGGTGCTCCTCTGTCCATTCAAGCACCCTGGGAGATGCTGAGCCCGAGCAGGGGCTGTGTCAGCCATCACCACCTGGCATCTCAGCTCCGTCTCTCGAGTGGGAATAGAGGGTGAGAGTTTATTCACAACCCCCAAACCCAGGCAGAGGCTTAGCAGCAGCCAGAAAACGATACCTGGACCCTTCATAAAACTCTATGGACAGGCTGACGATCTCGTCATCCGTCAGGTTCCCCTTGTCCTGCTCGGAGACTTCCCCGCGATCTTCGTTGGACCCGTTGGGAACTGTGGGAGCAGAGGGAGGGAGAGGCTGAGGTGTTGAGGGGGGCACGGCCGGGGCGAGGGGGGGTTCCCAGGGCTGATACTCACCCTCTGCCATGGGGTAGGCTGCGTAGAAGTCGCGCCGCCTCTTCATCTCATCTGCGGGAGAAGGGAGGAGGAAGGTGAGGGGGAAAAAAATCACACCAAGGGGGAGATGGGTGCAAAGAGAGGGGAGCAAGAGGAAGCCCCGGATTGCCGAGCGCCTGCTCCCCGCCGGCAGCTCAAGCACGAGCTGCCTGGTGCAGACGGAGCTGTAGGAGAGCAGTCACTTTAGCAAGAGCAATCAAGTCGTACCAGTAAAACCCTCGGAGCGGCTGCAAATCCGCTGCTGTGAGAATGCCTTTATGGCGGCTCGACTGTCCTCAGTCTTTCCACACCTGCAGACCCCCACACTTTTTTCCCCGAGGACGGGCAGGCACTTGGAGAGCAAATCCGCAGCTCCTGCTCCCAGCTTTGCTTTTCATGGTTCCCCCCAGCAGCAGCCCCTGGGCTGCCGGAGCGTGGGATGGGCACTATCCAGACGGACCCATCCCTGTCCGTTCACACCATGCATTTTCCTGTTGTCCCCATGACACAGGCAGGGGCGTGCGTGGGCAGCGCGAAATCCAGGGGACCAGTTTCACTGGTGGGTGGGAGTGAGTTACAAACAACCCCAAACCCACACAGTTATAACTGTCCATGGCTGTACCTTTGAAAAGCCCCGGGACCAGTTTGTACACTATGTCCTGTAGGGTTTTGTCCGACCTGGGGGAAAAAAAAAATAGGAAAAGAGAGAGAAATCAGCTGGATAGGAGTGGCTGGCTTCCCCAGGCTGCCAAAAGCTGCCCTGCACCACGCGTGCCCCGGCCAGCCCGGAGGCCGCCTCTCCCCATCTCCCTCTCAGAAAACTCCCAGCACAAAGCCCCAGCTCCCTGTCCCATGGCGATGCCACAACCCTGTCTCGCAGGCAAACGCGTCCGCCCTCACGCTCACCACAAAGGGTTAACTCTGGAAAAAGAAAGAAAACCATTTCAAAAATCCTTGTAATTGCTAGGGATGATGACAGCGAGATTTTGGGGCCAGGATCCGTTTCAGTAGTCAAAATGATTACAAAAAAACACTGAGAACTTACACAAAAAATAATCTAAGATCAGCAAATGTTTCTGCAAGTTTTAATTTGCATCTAATTTTATTTTTGGGCTCGGCTGCAGTTCAGGGCTCAGGCTTTGATTTCCCTCTGTTGTAAGGATGGCAGGACAGCGTCCACTGTCGGGTTGTTATACAGGAAAGCAAAGCGGATTCCCTAAAATGTGAACATCTCAAGGTAGGATCTTCTAAAGCACTCGAGGAACTGGGGAAGCTCAAGTCCCACCCTCAGCACAGAGCTGGGAATGGGGTTGGGAAGGCTTGGGCTCGGGACCCTGCAGGCACAATTTAAAAGCAGCAGCTCAGCCGAATAAAAAAAATCTCAAAAACAAAGAAAGAGCAGTGGGACTGGTGAAAAGTAAATTATATCTGCAATTATTTCCATTTTAATAATAAGGTCTTTATTTTAAAGAAAAACAAATGACCGTACCCTATATTATTTTTAGCCTAGCCATGTCTTTCATCCCTAATTCCTCGGTGATGTCACTCTGGTTCACGAGGCCCCACTGTGATTTTATTTATAATACATACCCAGAGAATTTGCTTTATAATTTACAGCAAGCTAATGAAAAAGCAACCTCAGCCGCTTGATTGGCAGCTTAATTCCCAGCCAGTCTCTGCTCTTGCATGAGTCAACCCCATTCAGCCCAGCACGGTGGCACTGGGGGGGGGGCGGGGTGCCACAGGGGATGCGGTGGCCATCACCCTCAGCACCGCGCAGCATCACGCCTGGGGCACGCATGTTTTGGCGCTGCTGCGGTACCAGTTTGGGAAGCAAAGCGGAAAGCAAGCCCCTTGTCGGTGCAGAGTTTTCTATGGCCCCACATCTGGATCAGGCCCCTGCAGCAGCACCTCTGCCCACGTGTCCCATATTTCCCCCGCCAGGACCAAACGGGATGCGAAGGCACCGCGCCACCACGATAGCCGGGGCTGAGGGCC